CATTGGACAGGTTTAGAGCCTAAAGGACACAGGTGAATCTTGGGTGAATCTGCCCAATGAACTCCCAGCAGAATCCCCAGGCTACAAGTGTGGGGCTGTTGACCACATCAGGAGAGCTAGAGTAGATTGTAGCTGGAGAGTCTGAAGTATGATGTGCAGAAAATGTGTAGGATGAAACTCTGAATCCCAGGTGGGGCTGGAGGTAGGAGATGAACTGGGGATAGGGGCAAAGAGTGGGGTGAAGAGACGTTTCAAGGCCTTTCTCAGAAGAGATTTCCATGGTTTACTGGGATACTGGGATATGCTTAAGACTTTGCATTTGATGGTGGAAGGGCCCTCCTTGCCCTTGTTTTGTGAGTACCAACACAGCACAGAGAGAGAGAGAGAGAGAGAGAGAGAGAGAGAGAGAGAGAGAAACTAGAGGTGGAAGAAAGGGAGAAGGCAGTTGAATCCATTTCTACTCAAACTGATGAGAACCAAGCCGATCTTGTGACATCTCCAGTTGATCCGTGGGAGCAAGTTGGGCTCCTGGTCCTTGTTGGAAGAATGGAAGTCTCTAAGACACTAGGAGGCCTCCAGTATGGAGAATGGGATTCAGAGTGATTCCTTAATGTCTGTCTCAGCTGACCCTGCTCCTTAGCTCCCACCCCACACTGCTCCTTCTTCTCCCTCTTTGCTCCTGAGGCAAGAGAAGCCCTGGGATCCGAGAAGGTCCCACGCTCTGAGCGAGGAGAACTGCGTGGCCTCTGGCTCTTTCTCCATGGGTGACATCATCCCCTTGGGGTCAGTGGGAAAAGGCTGTCTTGTTGGCTCCCCTCACTGTCAAGACCCAGCGGATGCTACTGTTCCCACTTCCCCAGCCCTCCCAGCTTCCCACAACTCAGCTTCCTTCTGTTCTCTTCCCTCTCACACCTGCCTGCCCAGCAGTATCAGCATGCAGTCAGCCTGCTGTTGGGCTCCCGGAAGTCAGTGTGCAGTGGGCTGGAGGAAGCTGGGACTTTCCCTTCCTCCCTTCCCCTGCCTGAGTGAAGCAGTGCTGGGGGAATAAGAGGGCAGCTGGACCAAAGAGATGTTCTCCTTGATTGAACCAGATAATGTGTGGAATCCTGTCATTACCATGTGTGAAGACTCACCACCACGGAAGGAATGTTCTAGAGTACACAGAAAGTCTTAACAGCTAGTGTGCATTTAATGCTTTCTTTACCCCATTAGATACCTATCACCTCATCTATTCTGCATCGTAGCTATTGAGGCAGGAACTATTATTCCAATTTTAAAGAATGGTGAAGTAGAGCTGGGAATCTAGCTCAGTTGGTAGAGTTCTTTCTTCCCAATATGCATAAAGTCCTGGGTTTGATCCCCAGTACCTCATAAAACTTCTCGGTGAAGCATGTCTATAATCCTAGCACTGGGGAGGTAGAGGCTAGGGAGTCAGAATTTCAAGACCATCCTAAGCTACATAGTGAATTTGAGGCCAGAGTGGGCTACATAAGACCCTGTTACAAATAAATAAATAAATAAATAAATAAATAAATAATAATAAAAATTTTAAAAAGAATGGAGAAATTGAGCTGGGTGTGATTGCTCATGTCTGTAATCTCAACAGTTGGGAGGCTAAGGCAGAACTGTAAGTTCTATCTATAGAAAATAAAACAAAACTATTAATAGCAACAGCAACAACCCCCATAGAAAATTGAAATAGAAACTTTAAATGACCTGTCCAAATAATCACACAATTACTACGTGGAAGCGTGACATGGATTTGAACCCTGTTCCTTTTATTTCCAGACCCTGAGTTCTGAACTAATACAGAATAGTTTAATATGGGTGCAATTTCAGCCCTTGCTTATTTAAAAGGGGCTTCTGTCTTCTGGACAGCCCTAAATTCATGCATTCCCACACACATTCCTTCCCGCTGGAAAACTGTACAAAATGTCAGCATTATTTCTTACGGATTTTTCCATACTGGAAGAGACTGAATGGGGTCATTTCATTCCTCCCACTGCCTCTGGCCTGGACTGTGTTCCTCCTTCTGGAAGGAATCCTGCCGGATCAGACTCCTTACTATTTGGTGAAATGAAATCTTAGGAAATGGCCCCGACTCTCCCTATCTAGTAAGTAGAAAGCACTCTACAGGGATGGTTTGGGGCAGTTAGTAGTCTCCATACATGGTTTGTGAATATATCATAGGGTGTCCAGTAGGTTCAGGGGAGCGGGGAATGATGGTAGCTCTGTCTCTGCCTTCAAATGGTAGGTGCTCAATAAACATTTCACGGGCAACTGAGCATTTAAAGCACAGAAGACACAGGGCCAATAAAGAAGTAGGACTGAGGGACCTGCACTTTAAGGATCTAAGAGGAGGTCCTGACAAGAGTGTGGTGGGGACATGTAAGGGACAGGGATATGCCTGGGACTCAAATTCTGTCATGAGTCTTGAACTAGCCGTCATAGTAGTTTGGATTTGAGTCTCTAGACAGTAGAGAGCCAGCAGGTGATGAGATGGAGGTGTATATCCAGAAGTGTGGTCAGGCCCTCGTGGATCTGGTGGCCCACAGGCCCTGGTGAAAACTTCTGCAGCATTTCTAGCACAGAAATAAGGAAGCAGGGCATCTGGAGGGAGGAGGACTCCAGCACAGTGCGTGAATAACTTAGACAGCAACAGGGTGACCGAACAGAGGTTCCAGGTGACAGGAGAGTGGATTGGAGAGTGGAGAATAGGGCAGTCCGAAAGAAAAGCAATTTGTCATGAAGGAACTGGTCTGGGTTTGTATCCTAGCATCCCTGGTTCTGTTGTAGGCTTTACCAGCTGAAGGGCTTGGGAAGGCGGAAGCAGAGAGATGAGAGCCAGGGCTAGCAACAACAGGTACACTACTCCATGGGCTCTGTGCCTCCTGCTCTGGCTGCCACCTCCACTCAAATGGCACATATGTGCCCCAGCAAATCCCAGAGCTATTAGGTCGTGAGCCGCCCTGACTGAGGAAAGTGCACAAATCAAGGGCAATCTCTACAGCCAGCAAAAACCTCCTGGCCTTCAGGGTCAGTCAGTCCTCCACTGACCTTTAATGCTGCTGGCTCATGGGAGCTTGGATGAATTCTTCCTAGCAGGCCAGGGTTGGCAGGGGAAGGTTTAACCCAGAAGTCTGAGAAGGTCAGCTGCCAGCCAACCCACTCTTTAGTGCCTCTCTGTCCCCCATTACTGCAGTCCCCACCCCCCACACCCTGGGCTTAGCTCTGGGCATTAAGACAAGCCTGGGAGGTAAGATGATCCCACGGGTCTCTGGGGGGCTTAAGAAACAGATGGTTCCTGCACAGGAGGCTCACTGTGAGTAACTTGATCAGGATGTGGGGAGGGAGCTGGCAGGCCCAAGGCAGCTTGGGCACAGGGTCTGGGAACCTTATGAATGTTATCAGAGGTGGTTTCTCCTAGCCTTCAAGTGGGACTGACTACCAAGACAGTTCCTCAGCCCCTTCCAGATGGCACCTAGGACACGGAGCTGGGGGAACTGACACCAGGATCTCCTCTGCTGGCATGACAAGGACAGCAGGGCCAGTGAAGAAAAAGTGCTGGAGCCAAGTGTGAGGGCAGCTGAGAGGGAACAGGTGCTTGGGAAGGAGAGACAGGCTGGGCAGGGCTAGGCAGGGGCTTCTGGTACATAGGCGTTTCCTGGCCTTCTTTCTCCCCTGACCAGTCAGATGTGAAGAACAGTTAAAGGAAGCTCCAGGCTTACCCTTTTGCTCTAGTGTCCCTTTCCCTCCTCTCCCCCCTGCTCCACAGAAGACAGAGTAGTCTTCAAGCCCAGTCCTGCTGCCCAGCCATCTGCAGGCAGTGGTTGCTGGTTAGGACAACAGCATTTGGAGTGAGGCAGAACTGGGCTTGCATCCTGACTTTGTGAGCTGCGTGTCCTCAGGTCTCTTACTGCCATAGTTCTACTCATTTGTTGAAGTGAGACTAGCAACCTCTGAGGTTCACATAGACTGAATAAGATGCGGTAGCATGATTCCTGTTACATAGTAAATGCTTTCAACCGTTGATTGCCATCATCATCACCATCATCCACTAGGGAGTAAGGGCACAAAAGGACAGGGCTGACCACTGCCACTTTGTGTGCCCTCAGACTAATCTCAGCTCCACCTTTTATTATCTAATCACGGGCAAGTCACTTAGGATCCTCAATTCCCTCAACTGTCAAATGGAAGCAGTAATAGTCCCAATCTCATATCCAATTAAATATAGGGTAATTTATTAATATAAGTTGCTATATATACATACATACATACATACATACATACATATATGCATAGCTATATTCATGGCACATACACACACAAAACAGACAGCCCTCAACTTAATGACTTCTGGACTTTACCATGATGTGAAAGCATACCCATAAAACCATTTCAGGTTTTTTCATTTGTTTGAGACAGGGTCTATAAGACCCAGGCTTGTCTGGCACTTACTGGGTACCACAGGCTGGCCTTAAACTCAAGGTAGTTCTCCTGCCTCATCCTCCCATAGGTGTGATTACAAGCTAGTGCTGGCGATATTCTGTTTTTTTCACTTTCAGTACATTACACGAGGTGGTCAACACTTCATTATAATACTTTGTTTTGGATAATTTTCCCTACCTGCAGGATGATATAAGTTCTGAACATTTTGTTGCTTAGGTATATTGAGTGAATTTTCACCTTAATGATAAGTTCAACTTACTGTGGATTTACCTGGTTGTGATCCCATCATAAATGGAGGAATATCTGAATAGCCTTTAGGACAGAGCCATGAATGAATGCAATTTCTCTTATCTAGCCATAGCAGTGTTCAATTTCCTCCTCTCACAGCACGGGTCTGCCCTGTAGCCGGCTGTAAAGGCAAGGTTCTAATAGCAGGCTGTGTGACCCTGGGAGTGTATGTTCAGGGGTTGCAGGTCGAAGTTCAAGGCTGTGAGGGTTAACCATCCCTGCAGTCCTCATGCTCACTGGCCCTGTGCTTTCTCTCATTGCAGATGTCCATGAAAGAGGTGGGGGATGGCTTACAGGATCAGATGAACTGCATGATGGGTGCACTACAAGAACTGAAGCTCCTACAGGTGCAGACGGCACTGGAGCAGCTGGAGATCTCTGGAGGGGCTCCTGCCTCCAGCTGTCCTGAGAGCCCAGAGACACAGCCTGAAAGCCCTCGCTGGGAGGGCAGTGGCAGTCCTGCCAGGCTTGTGGGCCATCCCCCCTCCAGCCAGCCTTCTTTTGGCAGCAGCCCCAAGTTTCCCTGTCATAGGAGCGTCTTCCGGAGGGATCTTACTGCCCTGCCCAAGACACAGCTGCTGGAGGACCAAAGCTGTACCCAGCAGGGGCCAGAGTGGGTGGAACCAGATGACTGGACCTCCACACTGATGTCACGGGGAAGGAACCGGCAGCCTTTGGTGTTAGGGGACAATGTTTTTGCAGACCTGGTGGGCAACTGGCTAGACTTGCCAGAACTGGAGAAGGGTGGGGAGAAGGGTGAAACTGGGGGAGCTAGTGAGCACAGAGAGAAAGGCCAGTCCCGGGAGCTGGGTCGCAAGTTTGCCCTAACAGCAAACATCTTTAGGAAGTTCTTGCGTAGCGTGAGGCCCGACAGAGACCGGCTGCTCAAGGAGAAGCCAGGCTGGGTGACACCCATGGTCTCCGAGTCCCGAGCAGGACGCTCTCAGAAAGTCAAGAAGAGGAGCCTTTCCAAAGGCTCTGAACGGTTCCCCTTCTCAAGCACAGGAGAGCCCAGAAATGTTGAAACCCCTGCCACAAGTAGCCCTAAGGCCTTGGAGCCCTCCCATGCAGGCTTTGACGTCAATACAGCTGTTTGGGTCTGAATTTGAGAGATGCTGGCTGAACCTGAAAGGCTAATCTTGATGCTGGGCCCCGGGAGAGGATGGAGGACAAATGGCCTTCAGAAGAGCATGCATGTTTCCATTCCCTCAGAAAGGAAGGAAAAACAGTTCTGCCATGGCTCACTAGAATGGTGGGGAGAGGCTATCATAAGGCAGGCTGATGGAGGAGAGAGACAGAATGTGCATGTGTGTATTTGTGTGTGTGTATGTGTGTGTGTGTATTTATGTGTGTGTGTGTGTGTGTGTGTGTGTGTGTGTGTGTGTGTTGTTCTTTGGGGCTGGTGGTGACAATAGTGGGGAGGGGTAAGAGAGGAGACCCACACATGCCTTTGACCACATTCCTCAGTTGAACATTCTGTATGGAAAGGGGCACTGAGGCCTCAGATTCCCCTGAGGGGTCCCTAATAAAGACCTGCCTCCCCCATCCATTTTAACTGTGTGCTTCCCTGGCAAGGCCCTGCTGCAGGCCGGTGGCTTTGAAGCACAAGTCTCCTAGGATGGGGCACAAGGGAGAGAAATCCTCACCAGCAGCCCTTCCTGGTGCCAAGATTTCAACCCACAGCTGGGTGCTGGGAAAAGGGCTGAATAAAGCAGTAGTGGGGAAGCTGGAGGTCCTCCTGTATCTCCCCCAAAGTTCAGGGGAGGAACTATGTATGCACCTTCACCCGAGAGCTCTGTGAGCCTGTAAGTAAAGGAAGCATTCAGATGAAGATGCGGCCTGGGAAGTTACAGGCCAAGAACACAAGGCTGCCAAGAGGCAAAACTGGCCAGGCTAACTGCAGGGTGATCACTGGATGCTAGAATTAGTGTCACTGGAGCAGCAGCAAGTCCCCATCCTGACACCCTGTCACCTGTGCCCTCTGGGGCAGCAGTTGGGGTGAGCCCAGAAACAACATCCACACATTCAAAACAAAATTCCTAGCCCCGACCCCACACTCACCAGGCACTGTGAACCCTCAAGTCAACAGGGACCTGCAGGACTGGAGACATGGGGACAAGGAGACATGAGCCCAGGACCTACAGGTGCTGAGGAAGAGAGCACAGGACTACTTCTGAGCCCATAGAGGATCCACCCTGGCCTTCCCTCCCAGGGGCGCAGGGCTGGGGGAGTAGAGGGGAATGGGGAGGAATGTAATGGCTGGCCCAAGAGGACAAAATAGGTCCCTGTTCAAGCCCAGCCTGCCCAGGAGGACCCACCCTTGCTCCCTCCTGCTGACCCTAGCTCAGCCTGATGGGGTGTGACAGCTGCAATTAGAAGCAAGTCCCTGCTGTCCCAGGAGCATTAAGCAGCAGCATTAAGCGCAAATTGGAGAAGAAAAATAAAAGACTCTTCTGCCTGCAGCCTGGACCCTCAAGGGACAGAGATGAAGGGAGCTAGAGCTTTCCAATTGGATGTAGGGAGGCAGTGGCAAAACAATCTACCCAAGTGAAAGGAAGGGAGTTTTGTTGTTTTGTTTTCTGAGCTGTCACTATTTGCCAGACGGGGTGCATATCTCTTTCAAACCTAGAATGACCCTAGACTTGTTTTCCAGATAAATCAGTGGAAGTTCTTACGGGGTCATGCCATTGCAAACTACTCACATCAGGCTCCTAGCAAACCAAAGAAGCTCAGTCTGAATGCCTGGGCAGGAGGCCTGTCTACTTTTCCCTGGAGTTTACCAGCTGGGCTCACTCTGCATGAGCAAGTCCTTGACCATCCTGTGTCCCCTGACAAAGGACAATGGCTGTGATCACCTTTGATGGCTCCAGTGATGGGTGTGTGAAGGAGCCTATGAAGAACCCAAACCCTGGTTCCTGAAGGGTGGGGCACTCAGCAAATTATTCAAGAGGACATAGGCCATGATTATATAGGAAGCCCAATCACCTCTTGACCATCTATATGCGACTCATTGTTTCCTGGACTGGTTATAGACATCCAAATCAACTGAATAAAACAGATTTCTCTTAGGGCCAGACATTGTGACAGGAGTTAAGAACACAGCAATGGAACATGACCCAGCTGCTGACCTCAATAGAGTTACCGTGATAACGGAAGAAAGAATTAACCATCATTCAGCCAGAAGAGAGTCCCTGGACTGGAGACTCATTTTCACTTGGGCCAGAACAAAACAACTAGGGAGTAATTTTGGCTCCCAACAATCCACAGGTGCCAGGCACCTTTGCCTTTATCATATTTCCTTCTGCTACACCCTGGAAGAGGTTGTTGTCCCTCATTTTACCTGGATAGGCTCACAGAAGTTAAGCTGAGCAAGGCTGCAAGGTACAGGGCTGGGACCAGAACAGTTCTTCATTGACTTCCAATGTGCTTTTCATGCTCCTTGGCAAATTGGTCCATATCTGCTCCACAGCCAAATCGAGAACAGCAAAACCTGTCCTCACAGATGAGCCGTGTTCCTGGCAAGCTGATAATCCATTGGAGGAATCTGCCTGGGTCTCAAAGGGGGTGATATGGCTCACCCACTACATCATACTTTGCTAATGGAAGATTATGGTAATTCTCCTATCCTTCTATAAGTTTGACTTCTCTGTCCATTTCCTTGGCTCCTGTTGAAACCATGATGGAGACTGTCCGGATGAGGCTGCATGATGAGGTGAATGGGTAGGCTTTAGGGCCTTAGCGATGCAGGGAGTATGGAGCAGTGAGTACAGAGAGGAGATAGTGAAAGTAGGCAGAGAGAAGCGGACAGCTTAATTCTGCCTCTGGGGCTCGTTTTATGGTTAACTGGGACATGCAAGTAAATGGAAAGCTATTTAATACCCTCACTGGCATGCAGGCCCACCCCATACCTGGCCTCATTCCCTGCCAGGTACTAATGGCCTTGGTTGGTCTAGTCATCTTACGGCTTTGCCTGCCTTTCTGTGGCCTGTGATAGTCTACAGATGTTCCCCAACCACAGCAGACACAAGAATCCTGATGGCCACAATGGGGGAAGCCTGCCTGGCCTCTCTGTTTCCTTTCTAACCTTGCAGACTTGGAACCTTTTTCTCCTCTCCTTCAGGTTCTTCTTCTGAAGCCTACCCCTCAGGGTGACCTCTGAACCCAAACTGGTCCTGAGGAATAGAAGCATGGTTCGGTACTGCCCACCATCCCCAGCTGTTCCCCAGTCTCCATAGGAGGGGCCCCTGTCTTTCTCAAGTCACCCAACATTCCCTGTAGGACTTAAATAAAATAAAGAGCACAACCTGCCTAGGAAGCTGGGGCCGTGCCCGTCTTCTTCAGGCCAGTGTCCATCTGCCCCAGGTGATCTCTACCTGGCAATTTAGATATTTCTGCCAACACAGCTATTTCTATGACTACCTGATTTGGAATTAAACAGGAATTAAGAGCCATGCCTGTCATTGTGTGATCCTAAGCATGTTGCCCGACCTCTCAGAGCCTCGCTCATGTGTGAAGCAGGGTTGCTGCCACCGGGTGTAGAGTGCACTGCACTAGGGGTGGAGCATGTGGTCCGCAATGCACAGGCTCCACAGAAACCACACCCCCAAGCCCCTGCAGCACTAACCATGTACCCTCAAGGGACAATGCTGAAAATAAAGTGCTTTCTCTGAAACTTGGTCTTCTGCTAAAAGGTGTCAGTGGCCCTCATCATGTCACAGGTTTGTGGCAAGGATCAGAGATGACTAGGAGGAACAATAGTTGTGAATGTGATTTTGTGCACTCTAGAGACATTGCCCCATTGGGTTATTTATTTACCAAATGGTACTCAGACTTTTTGTAGGGAAGGACCCTGTGCCAAGCTATATAGGTGCTCAAGCTTCCCACTGCCTTGAGGACCTGCTCTAGGGACACACTCAGTTGTCTTGTGTACCCCAACTCCCTGTCAACTTGGGGCCTTAGCTGCAGGCCAGAGATAGAGTTCAGTGACCAAGTTCTGCAGAGCAGCTCTCAAGCTTGTTTGGCCTTGAGTGCAGAAGTCCTCTATCAGGCAACTTCTTCTCTTCTCCTCTCCTCTCCCCTGCCCTGCCCTCCTCTCCCCTCTCCCCCCCCCCTGGAGGCCATCCCTAAGATCTATCCTTTCCCCTGTGAAGCCTGAATTGACAAGACTTACTTGCTGCCCCTCATTTGACCTTTCCCTTCCATCAGCCCTGACATGTCCCTTCCATATCCGGCAAGCTGGATGCACACCCACACCCATCCAACCATCACAATGGATTCAGCCTTGCCAAAGTCCCTGCAACAAAGTCTTCGTTCTTACATTCCAGTTCCCCACCCGAGTCCTCTCTCCCTTACCACCCCCAGTGCTCCCTGAAAGTGCCCGTGTGATACTGGTCACAGGCCACTAACCAGCGTGTTCTGGAGCACAGCTTAGGCCCATAATGATTTAATCCAGGAACTTAGCCACCTTGGACATTCCTTTTCTCTGCAACTCAAGTGGGACTGACTGGACTTTACCCTGTCCAGGAACTGTAGGAATCAATGTTCAGTATCTCTGTTCATTTCCAACTCCTAACACCACCTAGCTCTGGGCTGCTTGCCCTACCCCTCATGGTGTCCCCTCAAATGCACCCTCCCTTCCTCCTTCAGGGAGAGGTGGTTTGGGTACCTAGCTGGAAGCTGCATATGGGTGCTGGTTTGCAGGGGAAGCTGCCTTCATCAAGCCAGGTTTTGCTTCCTTGTGTCTTCCTGCCTTCCTTCTCTCAGGCCCTCTTCACCAACTCGTGGTGGGAAACTGTAGCTTGAACCGCCAGGAAATGCTGATCAGGGTCTGCGAGGACACGGGTGGGGTGCTGAAGTTGTCTGTGAGCAGTGCCTGTGACTTCATCCTCTCATCTTGTCTGCCCCAAATGTCAGAGGCTATCAGAGCCCTAGCCTTGCTCAAGGAGAACTCCAACAGGCTTGCTGGACCTTATTTCTGAACTTCTTGCCCACTTTACCCTCCAAGGAGACAGGCTACTATGAGTGCTCCAAGCTTGGGATTGTTATGACACTGTCTGCCTGTGTTGCCCCTCGGGAATCCAGTTCCTGTTCTCAGGCTGGCTTTT